AAAATCATTTTATTTTTAATACAAAAGTAAAAATGAGATTGTTTTGAGAATTATTTTGAGATCGATTCTGAAATTGTGTTGTGTTTGGTTCTTAAGAGATTGTTTTGAGTGTGATAAGAAAGTAAAATCGTGTTTGGATATAATTATTAATTAATATATTATAACATTATTGATAAGTATTAGAAAATGAAAATAAAAAAGAGACAACTTTTAACCATTTTTTAATTCTTTCACAAAAACTATTCTCACTATTTTTTATTTTCAAAATATTTATTAAATAAACACAATTTACACACTATTTTTATTTTCGTACCTCAAAAGACGTGCATAAACATTTTTAAAAACAAGTAAAAATCAATTCCAAATGCACTAAAAGTATTTCTTGTAAGTTAATTTTTTTTTTGATACAGTGTTTCTTAAAAGTTAATGAATAATAATAAGGGATATGTGCAATTTCTCTAATAATTATGATTATAATAATGTAATAAATTATTCTTAAAAAAATAATAATAATAATACGTAATTTATACATATTAATTCATTGCCCGCCATCCCTGTGCCTGGTTTTGCTGCGTTCACCCACTACCGACTCCACTCTCACCAAAATCGAAAACACCTCTATTTAAGTATTTTTCTCTCTCCTTTCCTGTCACATTCCCTTTCTTTTCCATCATTTTCTCGGGAAAATGGTGGTCGACGACGATCGCCTCGCCGAGTTGAACCCCAAGACCAGGACGTGCGTGGTCCTCGGCGGGCGAGGCTTCCTCGGGAGATCGCTCGTGCTCAGGCTCTTGAAACTCGGCAAGTGGATTGTCCGAGTCGCCGATTCCGCTCAGTCCCTCGAGCTCGACCGCACGGAGCGAGATTCGCTTCTTTCTCACGCTATCGCCTCTGGACGCGCCTCATACCATTATGTCGACGTTCGCGACATGTCTTTGGTAATCAAAGGTATTTTTATTGTACGTGTTTGGTTGCTTGGAAAATGAGAGAAAGCTATTGTCATTTCAAGTTCAGATGTGAATTGAGCCGTAGGTTTTTTTGTTTTGTTTTTGTTTTTCCTTTGATGATGAAAATGCATTGCAAATTTTTTTAAACTTATTTTTTTTTTGTCTTTTAAATTTTATTTAAAGTTCTAGAAAAAATGAAAACAACAAGGATAAGTTATCATAACTGAGAAATGAAACTCTCTGAAATGGCTTTAATTGACTGATCTGTTTGTTTGTTCGCTTTGATTGGAAATTGAAGTTCATAATGTCTTATTGTTTTTGCTATTTTAGTTTGAATACCAACTGGGATTTTCAACACCTTTTCTCCTTGTATTTTTTTTTTTTTTTTAATTTCAAGTTCTTGCATGAATAAGTGAAGAGGAAAGGGGAAAACAGAAACAAAAAAGGATACGCTCTTATAATTTGGAGACAAATATTTTTAACTTTCTCTTATTGATATTAGTTTGTTTTAGTTGGAAATTAAATTGAGGAGTATGGCTCATTGTTTTAACAGTTATTATTGAATTATGAACTCTGATTTTCAGTTTTCATTCCCCATGAGGAAGTGCAGAAAAGGAAATGCATGACTGAAAATTTCAAATATGTAAAAATTTCAAATTACTACTTGAAGATTGTACCATAGATAACAGTAGAATGAAAATAAATTTCTGTTTCTCAAGTGTAGTTAGTCTTCTAAGGTGAACTGAAGAGAAAACAACATTTGCTTTCCCCAAGTAATGTTTCAAGAACAAGATGATATATCATATCGTATCATATATCATCTATCACATATCATATATCATATCACATCATATACTTATAAAAGAGAGAATGCACCAACGATTACTTTGTAAAAAGTATAAATTTTTTTCGGTGGATATTTTGTTTCTATTAATGTTTATATGTGATACTGAACTGGGATTCATAAACTAATAGTGGAAGGGAAAATATACACCTTTTGCAGCTGTTGAAGGTTCTTCTGTTGTGTTCTACATGGATGACACTGATCTAAAGGATAACGACTTTTATCATTGCTACATGATTCTTGTTCAAGGTAGACCTTAAATATCCATATCAATTGGAAGCAAAACATTTTGAACAAACTGATG